CACAATACACCCTGGAGGGGGCGCCCGCCCGCCACAGGACACACACACACACACCAAGACAGTTCAGAGACCAGAACCGGAACACCTGAGGAAACATCCACAGGAACACGGGAAGACTCCGAACGGAAGGCACTCCAGTTTAGACCCAAAAGCTGTGTTAAATGCCACAGTTCAGGTGCCATGAAACTGAAACACTCTTGAAAAACAAACGGTGCAGAAGGGATATTTATCCATCCGTATGTACGCCTCTGCAAATTCAGCAAAGACACAACTCTGTTGTATGCCCAACATGATGGAACTGATATCTACTGATGAAAATGGATTTTCTGTTAATAAAACTATGTCAACGACACACAGACCTATACCTATACATTGAGTGCATCAATTTAATATGACAGAAGTCTCTAAAAGCTTTCTGAAAGAACTGATATTGCCGATAACGATACTGATACTGATAACGCTATGGAAACTGACAGCTTAGTAGCAATGTGGTAGAAAACACCAATAAGTCTGTGTAGGTGCAAGACAGAAACATCTCAGCTATTGTATTTTTTCCCCATTTAAGATAAAATGAGCTACACATTTTTATAGTCAGATGAACTTCAGCCTAGATGGAACAGTGAAAATAAATGTGGCTGTAATAGCTGTCAATTCAAGCCAATTATGAAGCAATCACCAGGCAATTTATTCAAGGAGGCCACAACTGCACAGTGATCGGAATTAGGAGGTTAATGTTAAGTGGGGAAAAAAACACGTCTCTCACAGGGAAAGTGAGTCATTCAGAAGTCTTGCTGAGCAACCACTAAAGATTTGCAGTCTTTTAATAACAATTCAAACAGAACCCAAGATGGCTATTCTAGAGCATACCCAACAGACCACTTTTTCAGACTTTACCCTGGTGAAAACAAACCTTATTAGAAAAGCTTTAATTTTGCTGCTTAAAATCGCACTGGAATTTTATACATAACCATGGAAAGAATAATTACTTAAATGGCACACAGCCCTCGTCATTTATTACCTTCAAGACTCAGGAGCAATAAACATTTTGAGCATAATCCAGCCATCAGACTGACACTGGGTGAATTACTGTCAGAACCAGTGCACATAAACTCCACATTTAGCCCTTTTTCTGCTAAACTATTTGGACATCCGAGTTGATCAGGGAATCTGGCAGAGGCAGCTGGACTGGTCTGGCAAGTATTCCCGTCTGAGCCGAACAGAGCAGCTCACAACATGACACACACACACACAGGACACGTCACCCGGGACCGCTGCCATCCCTTTCCAGTATTATCTGACTTTTTGGTCCTCACTAGGTTCCTCTTCTGCATAAAATGTGAAACGGACTGCCGCCGAGCAAGGTTCTTTATAGAGGGATGTTAATACTACCACTGTATCCCTCACTTTGAGCGAGCTGTCTTCCCGATTCACTGCGGTGTCAGACTGTGTGTTCAGCTGCTGTGTGTCACACTGGCTGGAGGGTTATTTATTGCAAAACTAGTACAACACAATCCGACAAGCCTGATTACAGCCCTGCATCCTGCATCCGATGCCCCCCACTACTCCACCCACACTACAAGATCCGCATCTATTTACATGACCGCTCATAACCGCAACAGCTCTGCAGCTGGCACACGTTACAACAGCTGTGCAGCACGTGCACCATGCACAGGAAAAGGCACAAGCTGCACACCTGTGACGTGCGCTTTGCACCAGGGTGCAGAGGGGGTCTCGTGGGATTCTATCCCGTTCCTCTCCTGCAGCCTGGACAGGCCCGGGTCTGATCTCTGGTCTCCGAGCCCTAGATGCCATGGGCCGTCCCAGCTCGTCCCGCCACGTTCAGTGGGGATCAGGTCTGGAGAGAAGAGGGCGTCCCCAGCAGAACACATTCCGCCACTTTCGGCTTTCTGCCGAGACGAGCTGTTGCAGAAGCACCGAGGACAGGTGCTGTCCTGCTGGAGTGAGGACATTTCGGTGGAATCCCCAGGTGAGGTCCCAGGATGTGATCTAGGCCATGCCATCAGTCACCGCACACGGATCTCTGGATTGGCTAGACCATCGTGCTTGGAGGTCGCCATCGGATGGTCTCTCATACACAACGATAAGTGCATCGTCCTACACATCTACGCGACACGTCTCCAGGTCCACCTGTGCAGTTGACACAAAACCTCGGTTCATTGCTGCAGAGGGCTCGGTTCCAAACGTATGTCCATCTGGGTGTTGCTCCGTCATACCAATGGCTCAAAGTCTCTTAATAAGTGGTGCGTCAGTTCCTTCTCCAGGCTTCACATTCTGGAGGTCAAATCTTCTCACTAATCAATGCAAGTGCATCCCAGTCACTCATGAATAATCGTGGAGCCAAAATGATGCCAAAGGTATTTCATTAATATTCAAAATCTGTAGGATTTCTGAAATCTACTGTCCCAGGACACTAATCTCAACAAGGACGCTCCCTGGCCTCAGCCTGTGCTCTGCCTCTCCCTGCAGCTGAAACGGATCAGGTTGGCTGGTGTCGCTGGAGCTAAGAAGATGTCTGCACTGTGCTGGGAATCTACACATCCGCTCCTCTGGAGTCACTGGATCCCGGCGTCTTCGCAGTGTTCCCATGGAGTTCCCCATTCCTATCATTTCACAGATCCTGGGGCAGGACATTCGAGAGGGGCAGCACTCTGGGGCGATAAGGAGGGTTGGAAAATTGCTGCATCTTGGAAACGACGCAGAAGACTGTTTAAAACCACAAACTACTTCACCCAGAGGTGTGTGGGAGAAGGGAACAGCCCACCAGCCATGTTGTTGAGGCAGATAGCTTGACGTCTTTCAAGAAACGGCTGGATCAATTCACTAATAATGGCTAGATGGGCCAAAAGGCTCATCAAATGAAAGGAGGCTCTTTCAGATGGATCGTTTTGTTGTGTTTTAAAACACTTACGTTAATAATAATTGGTTCCTAGGGAAAATAAATGAATAATGTATATGATACTGTACCATTTGTGAAGTTCCTGTAATTTACGAAAACCAGTGCACCACTCCTGACAACACAATATGACAGTACCAGCAACGAAAAGCTGTCGCTCTGTAATGTGATTTAAATTCCCTGCTGCTTGCAAACCTCTAAAAGCTCCTCCTTCTCTAATACCACTGGGATTTATAGGATTGTAATGTCTTAAATATAATCCCAGTGGCCAAGTCCTAGAACAAACATTGTAATGAGCTATTTTACTTACATGGAGACAGTTTTTAAATAGATGTCCAAGACGCACACTGCTTATACGAGCTTTTAACCATGACATGCAATTTATATAAAGTAAGTCTCGAAAGCATATCTGCACTTTTCACGGGCCTCTGAAATACTTAAGCACTGTCTTCTTTCATGCAAAACAAATTCAGAGATTTAGCCAGAGGCCTGTCAGCCTGAGAGAATCCCCTCATCCGAAACTCAGTTGTTCTTTCAAGCAATAGCACGTTTGAGAGGTGCACCAGAGCTGACAGCCGAGCTGTGGAGTAAGCCCCCCGTCTCCGAGGAGAAATTACAGCACTGAAGAGCAACTGGGAAGCTCTGAGCACAAAATCCATGTCAAGCACATGACACACCTGCATTCCCCTGCTGAGGAGAAGGGGGAGTGAGCCCATCATTAGTGCAGGAGTTACAGTATCTGTTCTCCAGCCAGCCTCAGCAGCCATAGGAAGCCTGCTGCCTGCCAGTAAATATTATGCAATTAGGCAGCACATGAACTCAACTGAGTTCACTCTTTCCATGCTGCCAGTCATGCACACATCCATCAATTAGTAATAGTGCGCACTTCAGCATGAGACCGGGACTGGGATCAACTGCTGCGCCGCCAGCTCTGGTCCCGCTGCAAATTCCGGCTGGAAAAAACCCCGAAGCCCAGCCTATTCACCTGGGAGTGCCAAAAAAAACCCGGGAATATTGAACGGGATTGGATCTGGAGCGGCGCTCAGCTGGCGACACTCTGGAGCGGACAGCTCCGTGCAGCTGCCCGGACGCCCAGGCCCTGCGGACCTGAAAGAGACGGGGGGCTGCCTCTCGTGTCCGAGGGGGGCTCCCATCCTGCCCGAGTAACTGGCTCACAGCAGAACTTCTGCTCCCGTTTCTCACTGCCCTCGCCCCCTCCCCCCCCTCGCCCCCCTTCCCACTCCTGATCCGCCGACCGGATTAACGCCGTGATCCACGGAGCCGCAGGGCGAGGAGGGGGCGGGGGCGGCCGGGGGCGCTGCCGGCTCGCGGGGAGTCACGCCACCCCTCGGGGCGCCTCGGCCAGGCCAGTCCATCCAAGGCTCTCATCCATCAGCAGCAGCGCAGCCGGGCGGCCTGCTCCCCACTCCTACAACCCTTTGTGCAGGGACTCTGTCACACAGGAGGAGCCAGGAGGTATGCTGTTCCTGTAAACAAGCCCAGCTGACTTCAGGTTTAGCACACCAACCCCTTTCGTTCAGAAAATGTTTTGGCTGTTTCTATCTTTTGTCTACCCACGACAGAAGCAGCAGCAATCCCACTCCAGGAACAGTACAGTATGTGTAACCACCCCAGCTTGTTTTCTTTTAAAACACTGACAAAGTTTCACACGTTACAATACACACATGAATTCACAGACTTCATTTCCTCATCCTGGACACCTGCTGGTTACCACAGATCCAGAAAAAAATGGATTACAAGTAAAATCGTGAGAGAGGGAGAAAGCTGACTAGTTACGTACAGTACAGCAGCTCAAAATGCTGTCCATGTATATGGGGACAATCCACAGAAAACACATCTTTGTCTTTAAAAGCAGCCAAGAGTCCACCTGATGCCCGTGCTTAAAACTGTTTCAGGGCAAGCTTTATTTTAATTGTATACTGTACATAGTCATCAACATAAACGTTTTAGCAAAAGGAAAGTCAAAGCTTTCAAGTACTAGCGCTGCTCTGTGGTCTGTTACCAGATCCCAGTAACCATGCAAATAAAGCTGAAAACTTGTTTAAATTCCCCGTGAGCAAATTACCTGGTTTCCTTGAGCAAAACAAATCTCAGTTCGCAGGACCCCGGCCACCTCGCCGTCTAGGACTCCACAACACCCAAGGCTGCCCGGCCGCCGGCTTGCTGGTTGCTACTGGCCCATCGGACAGAGACCACCTTCACAGCGCTATCCGACACCCCAGCTCTCTGCTCCGTGTGCCGGGTATCACAGAACCAGAAAGGGGGAAATGTTGCACGAAGAGTTGGTGAGCTACTACTGAGCTGACAAACAACACGCTTGCAGAAATGTCTCCCCGGGTTCCCGTGCGTGTAAGGACCCTCCGCGCTGTCCAAGACCAGGGTTGCGCCCTGCGCCTTGTGCGCAAGCAGCCTGCGCGCTCAACATAAATGGTTAAACAGGCTGCAGGATGTATTTGTTTTCTAAAGTTAGATACAGTACGTTGACAACATGACCCAGACGAGCCTTATTTCAGCGCATCGCTGCTCCCGGGATCCGGCCAGAGACCACCGAGCCCAGGAGAGCTGGGGTTCACTACACTGTACCCCCAGAAAACGACTCGGTCCCGCAAGTTACAAACGGGTACTGTACACCCCCAAAACATAGATGGGTTTTCAAAAATATTTCTGAAACAGTGCAACGGCAACGGTTCGGGTCATCGACTGCAGCAACCACGAACAAAGCAAGTCACCAGCTGTTTTCAGGAATAAAAGAGGTGGAAATCAGACCGCTGGTCCATACGGTGAAATGCTCTCGATCGGCGTGCATATCTCACGGCTAAGAAACAAAACTTAACTCATTGATACCCAATTTAAAACCAACAAAAAAAAAACTTTTTAAACAACTTGACTTAACTCCAGCTAGCATTCTGATTACAGAAAGCAATGCCACTACAGGGGCTGCCTTCTCCGTTCGTCAAAGAAGTTCATGTTTCGCACTTTGACAACACTGGTACATCTGCTAATCCTGCATTATACTGAATAAAAGCGCTCGCTCAAAATCGTGTTACATGACATTAGGCACGTCAACTTGAAGAGGCGTTACTTACTACCATGCTATCTTTCTTCCAAACGTCCCTATCCGCCCCGTCTCCCTTTGTTCCGTTGTCAGCGGTATAAATTTACTCCATAAATTCACTTAATAATTAAAGAACGGCGACTCCTCCATCTTCATCACTTTCACCGCGCAGACAAACTTGAAGCCCGGCAGAGGACGAGGGTGGCAGTTGCCGCCAGCCAATCAGTGGAGAGAAACGGACCCCTCCGGAAATGTGAACCAATCAATTGAGGGCCGGGGGCGTGGCAGAACAGTTTCCGTTAGTGGGGTAGGCTGCGTCGTTATTGCAGCTAGGAAGGTCCGAAATTTGGACGGTCTGGTGGCGATTTGTGTGAATGTTGTCTGACATGTAAACGGAGCGCAGTTCCTCTGCCTTTTGAATATTTGCAGTTTTTATTGTTTTTTCGTCCGGCAACCTTATTAGGATTTATTCTTTAATAGTATTTATTCTAAAAGAAGCTTCGACGTCCTGTAGAAGGAGAGAGTTTATAGCAATCGCGAAAAAAAAGTTACTGTCTCTATCTCCTGGTCTTGGTAAATTGTTCAGCGTAAATATTGTTTATAAAAAGCTATTTATTGAGCACTTTCGCTGTGAGTTACCAAAGTAAGCACCCAACCACCAGTGAGCAGAAACCAGCTTATTCCCGGTGTCGTAGCGAAAGTGTTGGACCATAATGCTCCGTTACAAATGCGATTTCACAGAGCTCCTGCACCACGCTGGTACTAATTGCTCTTCTGTATGTGTAATGGTTTAGCGTTATTGATTAATTTTATTCGCCATATTAAGCTGCTGGCATTGTAAGAACCATGAATTAGCTCTTTTCTGAGAGATCAGTCCTGTTTGAAGACACTTACTCTCTTCCTGGCATTAGTGGCCACTATACTAGAAGCCTTCATTTTCTCCAAGTACCGTAGGAAGTCACAGATTCAGCTTTTCTTTTATATTCATCTCTCTGTGGGGGTCAATGACTGCTTGCTTGCTGAAAGCTCTCTGATGTTAACTGTAATAATAATGATAATAATGATGCTGCTACTATATGTCTTCAAAATAAACTCCTCACACTTATATAGCGCTGTTCTGGACACTCCACTCCAAGTGCTTTACAGGTCATGGGGATCCCCTCCACCACCACCAGTGTGCAGCCCCACCTGGATGATGCAGAACAGCATGAAGACAGTTCATGATTGGTAAAGGCCAGGGGGGTATTTTGGCCAGAACTCCGGAGTAACACCCCTACTCTTCAAGAAACAGCTTTGGATTTTTAAGTGACAACAGAGTGAGGGCCTTGGTTTTATGTCTCATCCAAAGGATGGCACCCGTTTACAGTGTAGTGTCCCTGTCACTATACTGGGGCAGTAGGACCCACACAGATCACAGGGTGAGCACCCCCTGCTGGCCCCACTAGCATCTCTTCCAGCAGCAACCTCAGTTTCTCCCAGGAGGTCTCCCATCCAGGTACTGACCAGGCTCACACCTGCTGAGCTCCAGTGGTGAGCTGCAAGCTCTGGTGTGTATGTCTGTGTTCCCTCCTTTGATGCTCCAGGAAAACAAGAAACCTTTAGAGGCCTATATTTGGCCTGGAAACTGTATTGTAGAAGATTTATGCTGAATTTGATTTGAAGGGATACTTTGTGTGAATAAATGTGACCCTCTTGTTTGACCCTTTTGGGATGCAATGCTGGAATTTAATACTGTATATTCATGACAAATACGGCTTTATTCTGTACAAATGCTATTATAATTTTATGATATTACATTATTAAAAAGATAAATGAGACATTATCCAATATATAACTCATTCTTCTATAGGATGTTTTTGTTTTCTATTATATATGGAATATCAATAAATCTGGTTTTGAGTCTGCAACAAATTTAATTTACTGCAACATTTATTCGGCAACATAAATTTAATTCCAAAATTCAGAGACCATGTCAAAAGTATAATTAACCAGTAACCCTTACATTTTACATTTTACATTACATTTTATAGGTCATCAGTTTATTATGGCAAACTAAGATTACCACCAAAGTGCTATTAGTACAATGCATGAATACACAACAAGCAACTTCAATAATATACAGTATTTTAGACTTCAAGAGGTTTTAAATTAAAACTACAATATACATAAAATACTTCATTTTGATTCTTCAAAATCACAGTATCACATTATTAACTTAATGCAGCATTTTTATAAATGTGATTCAATCTGCTAATTACATGCAATTATAGAAATAAACCTTTGAACTGTTCACATTCTCTTCTCAGCAATATACAATGAAGGCTTTACTCAGGGGCTCAGATTCACAAGAACAAAAATGCATCACATGTTCCTGATGGAATGGGGTGTAAATCCATTAACAACAAACAAAAACAGAATAATTAAAAAGATTTGTGCTAGGGCAGAGAACAATGATCACATATTCATAGTTTTAAAAGGTCCATTTTCAATGGCAATAGCATTCTGAAAGTAAAAAGGGTACCAGGTCTTTAAAGTCATTAAAACTAAAAACTGCTCAATCCGTAAATAATTATGTTCTTATAAAGGCTGTTAGAGTTGGGAACACACTGCCCAGCCATGTTGTTGAAGGAGAAACTCTGGTTTAGCTGAAGAAACACTGTGATCCTCAGGTCAGTTAACTACCAGATACCATCAGAGCTTGACAGGCCAAATGGCTTCCTGTAATTTCTAACTGTTCAGATGTTTACAGCTACTAAAGACTAAATGGACTGAGTGGCCCCTTCTCGTTTGAATCCTTCTTTATGTCCTTACTTCATGTGTCAGTTTGCTGTCTGTTATCGTTCACTGTAGCTTTTGAGCACAGTTACCAAGGAGAACAGCTCTCTCGGCTCATCCAGCACGTCTGCTTTTCAGTAGCTAAAGAAGCTGAGGATCTCATCCGGCCTTGTGTTGAAAAGAGCCAAGGTATCAACTTTGACAAAAGTGGTAAACTGAAATTATAGATCCTTTCAACTGAACAATTTTAGAAATTAGTTTTTTTTTTAAGTAAAGAGAATATTTGTGTATAAAATAGAGATACATATTAGGGCCATTGCAAAGCAAGATGATGGTTAATGAAGCTAACACATTATACAGAGCAGCAAAGCACAAAACTGAAGCCCTTACAGGGGTACAGAGGGGATTTAGTGTACAAGAAACAAAAACAGTTGAAAAACCTACTTTCACAGTAATAGTGCAGGTAAAATATTCTTATAAATTTCACAAATACACCATGTTCAAGAAGTAAAGATATTTCCGGTACATCATTACATTTCAGGGCTCGAAATTAATTCATTATTCAAATCAGATCTTGCTAGTTACAACACTCGATCAGTGCTCATACACTTAATGACAAGCGCATGCTCAGAAAATCTTTTTGCAATAATGAATAAAACAAGCATTTCTCAGTTAATCTTTAAGAATATAAAATAAACTGTCCTCTACACTACTCCGAGAAGAACCAACAGAGCCATACAGTATGTAACTGAATAGTGAGAAGAAATATTATCATATCAGCTTTCATTCATATCATCACTTCTGCATCCCACAGGTCTTCTGGCTCAGGGGGTCTCGACCCTGGTCCTGATCCGCCCCAGTCTCTGCAGAGGACAGGGTGTGACCAGCACCAGGCCTGGGAGACTTAATTCATGGATCTCTTAACATTCGTAACACTTCTGAGGTTGGATAATTAGTAATTTACTGGTCCCATTAAGTCAGGAGTGGCCAAGTTCCTAAAATCACTGTGTTAAAAAAAATCAGAAGGATGTACAAACACCGCCACTGCATGCAGACATGATGCTCTGTTGTAGGCACAAGCATATGGTACGAATTCATAAGGGCATAGGGGGTTAATATACTTAAAGGCACTTAAAATGCAGAGATAGTGTGTGCCATATTGAAATTCCACCTGATCAGTTAAAGTGGAAACCACTGCCATTGTCTAAAATACGACATTTTCAAATTCCATCCCTTTGCTACAGCCTGTCCCTCTCTCAGGCTCACTTGCCTACATTTACCCACCCCCACTACCCATTGCACTTCTCCTGCAGGGAAAACAGAGGCGCCGGCTAGCAGGAGACAACATCAACAACAACAGCGGCTTCATGGCTCAACTCCAGGCTCTTGGAAGCCCTTTGCCGCAGTCAGTGAGCCCTTCCTACCCTCCAACCACGACCTTCACCCTGTCAAGTCTAATTAGGGTCACCATGTGGGGAACAGCAACGCACATAGAGACGAGTCAGGCACACTGGAAGCAACCACCTTCCAGCTGCACAACAAACTTCAAGACATGCTTTCGGGGCTGAGCCGGGTCTGCAGATCCTCCCTGAGCGCTGCATGCTCTCCCGATGACAGCCGAGCCGCCACGTGCTGCAGGCACCTTCAGGGCTCGTCCCCTGCAGCAGGGAGCAGCGTGCGAGTCCGTGTGACAGCAGGGTCCTTGCAGAGCTACAACACGTTTAAACACAGCCTGAAGAAGGCAGACATCCCTCCTCGGGTCCTATGCGAATAACAGCATGAGCCGATATCAACAGCTGCCTTTAGAGTGAAGAGCTCATTCCAGAAGAGCCCGCAAAAGATACATACTGTCCCTACAAGGGCCAGAATTTTACTAACACTTGAAAAGAGCTGATATTCTCAGCCTCTGTGTTACGCAACAGCAGGCTCCAGTTACATAAAAAGTTCAGTTTCCAGAGAAGCCTCCACTGCTGTTCAATGCAGTGTCTTAGAAACCTGGCAGGGCTGCAGGGAAAAGGTTTTCAGAAATGGTGCAAACAGAGCTCCCCAACTTAGGATGAGCCCACCTTTCAAAGCCCTTTCAAGCCTGCTCGGCCAGGGATGCACAAGCCAGCTGGGAGCCCACAGCTGAGAAGCGCGTTCTCTCCGACGCCCCGGGCAGGGTGTGGGTGAGATCTCCTTTCATCTCGCCCAGCGAGAGGAGCGCCGGGCACCATCAGTCAAACAGAACACCAAACCAAAGGGCCAAAGAGCAGTGCCATAAGAGTACTGTAAGTCAATGTAAATGTCTGCCTTCATTCATAGAGTGAACCCGTGTCCCCGTTCTCCACCTGATCTGCTGCACAGTGGAGCTGGGGGCTGTGCTTCAGTGGTGAATTCCCTTCAGAAGTGAGTCCTCTCCTATATGTTAATCGCTGTACAAACTCAAGCAATTAATTGTTAGAAAATACACTGACGGTGATTATGTTTTAAAAACATAATACACCATCTTATATGCCATGAATACCTTTAACACCTATGAATACTCTGTATTAATATGCTCACACATTTATATCTAGGAACAAGTAATGGGTTTATTCCATGCTGAAAAAAAGAAGAAAGAGAACACAACGTTTCGGCCGTGGAGCCTTCTTCAGGTGTCAAAGAGCCTGAAGAAGGCACCTGAAGAAGGCTCCACGGCCGAAACGTTGTGTTCTCTTTCTTCTTTTTTTCAGCATGGAATAAACCTATTACTTGTTCCCTTGCAGCCTACGCATGCTGACGCAGCTCCCCACCCCAACATTTATATCTAGCATACACTTACAATGCTTGTAGAAAGTAAGGGAGAGTCCTTCCTCATGCCTAGTGTCTCATCAGGCTGGAGGCAGAAAGAGCGTGAGACTCGCCCCCGGGGGGGCCACAGGTGCCCCGCAGGGCTAACCCACGCAAAGCCGATACCGGCGTGTAAAGTGATGCAGACAGTCAAGTCCTTCCCTCAAGCACACACAGCCCTCCAGGCAGCAGCCCAGCGGCCTCACCGCTGCTCTTCACTGCCACCTCCAGCGCAGAAGCAGACACTTGAGGTCCTACAGCAGAGCAGGTGAGAGCTGCGCATCCTGCTGCGCTGAGCTGCAGCGCTGCAGTGAACTAGGGGGTGATGCCGGCGAGCTGTGCCACCTCATTGAGCAGGGCACCGGCCTCTTTCCTGTACTGGGCCGAGAGCTCCCTGGCTCTGCGGACCTCCAGAAGGTTGTCCCTCAGGTTGGCCTCCACGCGGACCTGCTCCTGGTAGGTCTGGCTGGCCTCCTTCACTCTCCGGGACAGCAGCGCCTCGCCCTGCAGCACCGAGCTGATCATCTCCTGCAGCTTGGTGCCAGCAGCGGCTACGGACTTGGACCCCTGACTGGCCCTCCTGACCTGCTCCTGGGCCTCCAGCAGCTTGGCAGAGGTGGCGTCTGGCTGCACCACCAGCGAGAAGTCATAGCCCTTCATCTGAATGCTGATGTTGCAGGCACCTGCAAGGGAACGGAGACGTGATGAGTGACCCACCCTGACCTCGTTTCCCTCGACTGCAAGCATCAAGGAAGCTGTGAAGCGTCAGAGAGACTCTGTGACGTACAGACCGTTTTAACCAGCCTTTCACTGATGATCGTGCAGAGTGATTAACGACATCACTGAATGTACTTCTAACAACAACACGCAATTCGGAACTCATTTCTGTTGGTTTTTCCTCTCATAAACATCTGCCCAATAATGGGAGAAAAAAGCACGCATCTCAGCTGTTAAAAATAAAGTCTAAATTTGAAAAATCAAAACAGAAAGGAACCTTTTTTTCTGCTCACCTTCAATAGCACTACTGCTGTATATAAGAATTCTTATACTCAGCAGAATGAGGATCAAAGGAAAACCATTCTACAAGTTAGGGTTAAGCCAAAGCCCATTAAAATATTTCCATTCTGGATAATCACCCAAGATTATCATCACCCCTCTCCCCAGAATACATGCATTTCCTGACATGCTTCCTCTCCATACTCTAACCCGCTTTTATTCTTTCACAAACTCCATGTGACCAAATGCGTTTGAATGCACGCGTGGCGCGGGGCTGTCTGGACAGAAAATTGACCGCAGCACAGCCGACGAGGGGGGAAGCCATAGCCAGGTGATCCCCACTGGACCTCACCGTGCTCCTTCTTCATCTGCTCCAGACAGTCACTCAGACTGCTCCCAGGGCCGCCCCCGGCGCTGCTCTTCAGCTGTCTTACGCTTTGTGTCATAGCCTGGTGACCCTCCTGCTGGCGATTGAAGGTGTCGGCGATGTCCACAAAGCTCCGATCCAGCTCCGGCACTCCGACCAGCTTGACGACGCACCTACCACATTTCTCTCCTGTGCCAAGAGAGGAACGGGCATCGATTACTTTAATCATGTCAATTAGCACAACCAGAGCAATTAAAGGGAAACACAGCCAGATTGGCACTGAACAGAACTGATTACATTTTCTACACCTTGCCTAAGAGTGTATTACAAATGTGTACCCCTGTTCTGCAGTCCAAATTCTATTATGGAATCCTATCAAATATAAAAATATATAAAGATGTCCTAATATACTAATCAGCCAGCAGTAGGGAATACAGAGCATGAGGACAGCAGTCGCCTTAATCTTCCCAAAATGCTGAGTAAACAACATTTTAAAATGCAGTAGTTCAGGTGGGTAGTTGCGTCAGCATGCGTAGGCTGCAAAGAAATAAGGAATAGATTTATTCCATGCTGAAAAAAAGAAGAAAGAAAACACAACGTTTCAGCTGTGGAGCCTTCTTCAGGTGTGTCAGAAACGTGTTTTCTTTCTTCTTTTTTTCAGCATGGAATAAACCTATTACGTGTTCCTTTGCAACATTTTAAAATGCACTGTACATGATTATCTTCAATTATATTATATTATATTATATACAGCCAACACAGATACTTGCACAAGTTTACTACAGAATCTGTTTCTTCAAACAACCCTGCCTGTTGTCAGAAATGCCCTCTAATATCCCTCGCTTCTCTAAGATGATACTGACAAACACCAGCATGCTTTAGTGTAACTGTAACAACAGGCAGACTCCCAACATTGAAATTGTATATCTCCTCTGCTCTGTATTTATCACAATGTAAGAAAAATGGAAATTTATAGTCCATCTGGACAGGATGTGCCAAAAAACACTACTTTTTCCCCTTTCCATGAGTTTCAGCTGATGAGAGCCATGCTCTGCATTGGGGTGGAACAGTAGGTTTTCTTAAAGCTTCTCCAGTTCCACAGAAAACACTGTTTAACAGAACCTTTAAAAGCTCTGAATGTATTATCTGAAAAGCCTCTTTGTTACGCCTCGAGAGAGACTTGCTACAGATGATTGCAGCTTTCAAACCATTACATGACAGTAAGAGCCAGGCCCTTTCTTACTGCCAGAGACCTTTACGAGGGAAACTTCAAGCTGAGAGAAAACTCTCAGGCGCTGGTCTCATTGAAGAATGCTGCTCTCACTGCTGCTGCCCTACATTGCAATACAACCTACGTGGTGATTCCAGTCAGAATCCTGGGAAATACAGGGACCTGGGAGAGACTGAGAGATGGTGAGGTCATATTTGTTAACTGCGTTTACAGTAATGCAAAATCTGTTTTGAATATTTTAAGTGTTACATAAAAACAAGGTGACGTAATGTCCAATGGTGATGAATCAGTGTTATGCCATGCTTTACATGCATGTCACTTCATTCTGACTGGAGGAGAGAAAACAAGAGCCACTTGCCAACTGTCTGCTGTTAAACCTGACTCACTGCGGTCCTTCAGAAAGAGCTGCACAGCATTCTGGGACTGATTAGCCATGAGGCAGCAGATATGCAAGAATGACTTCCTCTCGGCAGTAAACGCTGCTGTATCCTAAAACACCTGTCATGATAAAATCCAGGTGTAAACGAGCCGTCTATTTAGATTTTTGAATACCACACTGCGGCTCATGCCGTTACCCGAACGGTCCCTACAGACTCAAGAACTGCTTGTGTCGACTGCGTTCACCCCTGCTGGACAGGGCCCCCCGGGACAGCTCTCAGAGGGGGAATCGGCTCGCCTCTGTGCCCCGGCGCCCAGAGTCCCAGGCCCAGTCGCTCCCTTCAGAGGGACTTGTCTCACCTTCTCATGTTCTCAGTCAAGGTGTGAACCCTTTTCTCACAAGGGTGGCGGGGGTGGGGAACAAGCTGCCCAGTCATGCTGCTGAAGCAGACGCCCTGGTTTCATTCAGGGAACGGCTCAGGTGAAGAACACCGGCAGGACAAAATAAACCCTGATCACGCCGAGAGAGTGTGTCAGTGCCTCGTGTGCCTTCTTGTCTGTCTTTTGGATTAGCATTACCAACCTCACCGTCCCTGTGTCCATGTGTACACAAGCTTTGAAAATGGATGAATGGATTCGTAAATAGATCAAAACAAAAACAAATGGGATTTCTACTTTTTCTTTTTAAATCGTGGGTCAGACATACAGACATGCACGGCATCGGCACCTCACAGTGAGCTGCTGAGAGACTCAAGCTCGCCTGAACAGCCAGAGCAAGAGTGAAGAGAGGCCGAAGGCAGGTGGTTCATTTCTTCGCGCTCTCCGGCATGAAAGTGTCTACGGCACTGGAAATGAATGTAAACTTCAAAACACCTCCGCTGACGTACCGTGCCTTTCTGGGCGAAACTGCCGGGCAGACTGGGGCTGGAGCAAGGGCTGCCGCTGGAAGAAGCAGAGAGTGAAGAGTGTTTATGCAGCCCGAGAAGAGGCCCCCTGCTCCCGTCCAGCCCCGCGCACCGCCGGACAGGAGCTCCTCGCCCACAGGCCCGCGGGCCCGAGCTCCAGAATCACAGAGTATACCGCCCGTTCCGGACCGAAGACTTCGCTTAGCAAGGCAGCTTTTCCTGCACCGCGGGCTCCGTCCACATCAGGCCGGCCCCCCAGGCAGAAGCTGCACCAGCACCTGCTAGCCCAGGAGAGTCCGACCCTGGTCCTGCAGGCCTCCGTTCGCTACTGGCTCACCTGGACCGGTCGGTGATGCTCTCCGTCATCCTCAGGGGATTCGGGAGCTGGAGAAGCTGCAGGACAGCAGCCCCCCCAGCACCTGGAGTGGGCTCCCATGGGCTGGGTGTCAGCAAGGCGAGTCCGGCTCAGTACTGGGATGGGAGACTGAGGAAAGCAGGCTTGTGCTGTAAGCGGTGCTGGCTGTCCAGCAGGTGGCGCTGTTCCCTCCGGAGCAGAGGGAACCCTCAGTACAGTATAGCGATCTTCAAGGATACTGTTCTGCGGGGCAATACCAGCAGCTGGAAACTATTCCAGCTGCTGGTTTCTGCTGCGCGGGATGAAGAGGGGAGCTGCAGATCGATGGCTTGAACTGATTGGCCCACTCGGGCCTGTTTGTAACAAGCCCGCTCCAGCAGCCTCTCCTCTCCTCCCTCGCCCTTACTGCTGACTCCCGACAGCTGATCAGCTCACGATCAACAGACAGGTGGGAATAACACGCTGCTTCACACGCCCACCATGAGCGTCCGACCTGCTGCAGGAGGTGAGATGTTACGGTGAAGCTGTAATGTTTTGCGGGAGTGCTGACTCTAGTGTCCCGGCTAACTTTTCACTCTGGGCTTGTCCAATATGTCAAGACTTCAATTCCCTTTTGATTAAACGACTTCGCTGACTTAATTACGTCTCCATGTTGTAGCCCACAGCTCGACAGTGGAAGCGGGAGAGAGAGGAGGGGTTTCTCTCTGAAGACGGACTCCACGACGCTGTAGCGCCTCAGACCGCCTGAGACTTCCTACCGGACACATTCCAGCACGGGGAGCGCAAAACTGCATGGGGAGATCTTTTTTATTTTTTACAAGGCGTTAAGAGAAGGAATAAAAACACTATTCCCCAGTGATGGTATTTTCGTGCTCTTATTGCGCCTAGCAGATACTTTTTGTATAAAAAAAGAAGCCCGAATACTTACTTCTGCCGGGTTTTCTGCCTGTGCAGGACAAGAACAGCAGCAAAACAAGAAAGACATTTTTTTTAAAGGAAAACCAGAGAATAAAGGATGAGTTGAGGGAAGAAAAACAAAGCACGTCAAGAACAGAACAACAGCAGCAAAGTTGGACAACCTCACACTTGGCCGAGCTGAGCTATGCCAATGACGTCAGAGTCACGGGACCCTGGCGCAGGCGATCACCTGGAGGGCCGGACCCGGGTCCGCACACCTGAGCGGCTCCGGCCGGCCCGTCCGCGGTGTCGCATCGTGCACCGAGCAGGGGAAGGTGTGATGGGTCATAAAAGCGAGTAATACAGAATGCACTGTCAGTGATTTCTGTCTGTCCTATTTACTGGCTCATTAAATCTCAAGTGCCTTATGGGAGGGAACAGCTCTTTTGAGAGTCGCGTCTTTCACAAGCGAAGTCTGCACAGCGACCTGTAATCGCGTTTGCGTGCTTAATGTCGTTGCTGCCTGGCAGAATGCGCGCCCCAGGTCACGTTAGGATATATTTCATCAGCTCAAGAAGAAAACAAAAAACAAAGAAGCGTGTGGACCTGTATGCTGCAGAGGAGACAGGAGAGGAAGAGGAGTAAAAAAAAAAAAACAGGGGCTCCGAGTCGGCAGGGGGAGCTGGCCGAGATCATCCACGCCAGGTGGCGAGACCGAGTCTTTGCCCCGCTCGCTCGCTCGCAGGGGGATGTGGGAAAGGAGAGGAAATAAACAAGCGGGGATGCATTGTCAGCCTGCTTAGAAACAAAAGGGTTACGTAGTTGCGGCGTTGTCTTCCAGAAACAGTCTGCGCCTTTCTGAAAGCCCCCTCGCCTTGCACCGACGCCGGGTACCTCGGGTCTGTCATCGGGCAGCGCACGGCGTCTCCCTGCCTGCTGACAGCCCGGCTTGAGCGGGCGCAGTGGGTCCGTTTGCGCTGGGCATTCTCGGGTAGTTGCCGAGGTTTGGCATCTCCTCAGGGGAGGGGGGGACCCGAGAGGCCCTGCCAGCGGGACAGCGGGGCGAGAGCCGGGGAGGGGGTTTCACGTCCTTGCGGGGCACGGAGGCGTCGGGCGGGTGCGGAGCCGGGGAGACGCGATGGCTTCCGCCGGCACGGACAAGCCCTGCAGCTCGAAGAAGAAGGCCGAGAAGAAATTCGCTGCCAAGGAGGAGGCCAAGCTGCTGGCGAGCTTCATGGGGGTGATGAACAACTTCCGGAAACAGGTGAGAGGGGAGACGCGAAGCGCCTGGGGCTTCCGTATTCGCCCGAGAGGCGCAGGTGTGCTTCAGCCCTCGATCTGACCCTTCAAGTCGGCAGCCAGCAGCTGTGGTTGAGCCTTTAAAGGCTTCAGTACTGTTGTGGTAGATCAGCCAGCAGCACTATCACCCTGCAGCTCATAGCTGGAGCCCAGCAGGTGTGAGCCTGGCCAGTACCTGGAGGGGAGACTCCTGGGAAAGCTGAGGCTGCTGCTGGCAGACGTGTTAGTGGGGCCAGTAGGGGGCGCTCACCCTCCGGTCTGTGTGGGTCCTACTGCCCCAGTATAGTGACGGGGACACTACACTACTACCTGAGAATGTGCTCCGCTGCCCCACTGCTCCAGGTCCTGGGTCCCCCGTGTAGAGAGTTTGTTTCCCAGAAGATGAGGTTTTGATCTGCTGGGGTTGTTGTTGTTGTTGTTGTTGCTGATGTTCCTCTCTGTCCCGCGAGCAGAAGACGCTGTGTGACGTGGTGCTAGTGGTGCAGGACAGGGAGATCCCGGGACACCGAGTGGTGCTCGCCGCAGCCAGCCACTTCTTCAGCCTGATGTTCACCTGTGAGTAATGACTCCCCCTGGGAGAGCACGAGTGCAAAATTACCTTGGCAGAGGAGTCCATCTTGCGCCTCAGTAGCTGACCGCTCCAGGGGTAGCTGAGGGATCCAGCTGGTTCTTTAAAACCTCTGGGTGTCAACAGCCCCCCTCGGTTAGTGTTCCTGACTCCCACCACCCTTTGTGTAAAGAGGCGCTTCCGGTCCTCAGCCGTGAAATTGCTTCTGGGTTCGGGAATGCTGACAGACCTACCCGGTTCCGGTCTTGAAGGATCTTCAAGTTGTTTTCCAGGCGGTATGGGTGTGGAACGGAAATGCGAGCGTGACCGTGGCCTGCCGTCTGTGCGCTCGGGGAAATGACCTTGCTTCATTGTAACACGAGTGTCGTTTCCACAGCCAACATGCTGGAATCCAAGTCTTTTGAAGTGGAGCTGAAGGACGCAGAGCCAGACATTATTGAGCAGCTTGTGGAATTCGCCTACACTGCGAGGTAACGGATCTCGCCTCGCGGTGGGTCATCAGAAATCGGTCCCGAGCGGTTTTGAAGAACTGACGTGTATTTTCTGAATCATGTCCATTTCTGCGTTTGTGCCTTAAAAGTCCTGCCTGTACCTCATCAGCTGAGAATCCGCTTTTTCACCTGAGCGTAAAGTTCATGGAGGATTTGGCCAAAACTGTCATCTTGGACTGATCATTTTAGTATTGTGCTAGTGGGTGGATTTCTGAAGGTAGAGGCCATCCTCAAGATCACATTGTAATTTTAGTGCCTTTGTATTTTAGGATCTCTGTTAATAGCAACAACGTTCAGTCCTTACTGGATGCAGCCAATCAGTATCAGATTGAGCCGGTCAAGAAGATGTGCGTTGAGTATCTCAAAGAGCAGGTGGATGCATCAAATTGTCTGGGTAAGATTTGTGATGTGGCTCTGAACTGACGTCAGTGCTGAGGCAGAGTGTCTTTTAAAGATTCCCTGTTGAATTTAAATCTTGCCCCACCTTTTATTGGCTTCCTTTGGAGTATCATTCACTAGAAAAACATATCGAGTTTGTGAACACTTTTGTTTACAAGCACGTTTCAGAAAAACCGAAAAGCTTTGTGCATTTGCACACGATGAAGATAACCACAAGCCGAAATAAATGACACACTAAACGTTTTAGTGAAAAGACAGGTCTTCAAGTCTTGAAAGTGCTGACCAGGAGGTGCTCCAGTGCCCACTGTGTGGAGGCTGCTCTTCAAGGGGAGAAGACCTGCATCAGCAGACCTCGGGTATAGAGAGGAACTACAGTGCGGAGGTTATCTTCATCTTTTATCGATACTTTCTTGAAGATCCAATTATGTTTAAGGACTAAATTGACCAAGAATATGGACCAACCTAGGGGCTCCCATACCTTTTCTCAGCACTTGTATTTGTACGCGAGGACCTTAGAATAGCCTGGAACTGGACTTGAAAGTAGGCAGATGATCCCAGATGTTTCCTCTGTCTCTTGACATTGATAGCTCAAGTGCAAGTAGTTCCCAAAATGAAATAAATGAGTGCACCACTGAATGCTGCTTTCACACACTTGTCTTTGCTCTTCCCCATCCTTGCAAAGTTGAGAAAATGGAGCAGCTCCGCTCTGATCCGACACCTGCCCTGACGAGAGTGTCTGTGCGTCCTGCTCGCAGGTATCAGCGTGCTGGCGGAGTGCCTGGACTGCCCGGAGCTCAAGACCACCGCCGACGACTTCATCCACCAGCACTTCACCGAGGTGTACAAGACGGACGAGTTCCTGCAGCTGGACGTGAAGAGGGTGACTCACCTGCTGCACCAGGACACTCTGACCGTGCGGGCAGAGGACCAGGTGAGGCAGCTGGCACAGTGCCCCTGCCCTCTGTTTACACACGTCTGTCCAGCTTGGAACTGAGGCTGAGACATCCGACTCCCAGCCCAAATCCACCTCTTTAAGCCCGCACTGAATATATTGTAATTCTGGGGAGGACAGACGCAGTTCCCTGTATTTAAATGTGTTCTTATTAAAATATTCCTGGGCACCATGTACAGGATTCAGGGGAAGGATAGAGCAGTACAGTAAAAGTCAGGGAACGTGCGTGAAGATGTCTAGCGATTAAAACAAAAGTCGGTAAAATCACAATCGCACATGAAAGGCACGCATGCAGGTGAGGCAGAACCAGTGAGATATTCTCTAAAAAGCTGCTTCGTACTGGAAGAGCCGGCGAACCATTGTTCCACCTGAGTTTAAGCTGAAACTACACAGCTCCCCACAGTGGTGAAGTGTCCCGCAAGCCTCACGGCAGGGCCTCCTGCGTCTCGGCGGGCGGGAACGGTGACGTCTCCTTGTTCCTGAAGGTCTACGACGCGGCCGTCCGGTGGCTGAAGTATGACGAGCAGAACCGCCAGCAGTACATCGTGGACATTCTGGCCAAGGTCCGCTTTCCGCTCGTGTCCAAGAACTTCCTGAGCAAGACGGTGCAGGCGGAGCCGCTGATACAGGACAACCCTGAGTGCCTCAAGATGGTTATCAGTAAGTGGGCTCTCGGTCTCCGACGGGCTTATCGCTGCTGCCAGCGCCGAGACGGACTCTTAACGGCAGGCTAGCTGTGAGAGGACGCCCCCGCCTGTCTCGCTTACCCTGCCCTTAGCCGCTGAAGGACTCTCGGACTCGGGCAGGGCAGTAGGGTGTCTTCTCACAGCTAGTCCGTCGTCGGGGTCGGGGTCAGTGCAGGAACGACTCTGAACCAGAACACGGAGGAGCTGAAGGTTGACGATGGACGCAACCTTGAAAAGGGTTTCCAAAACCCCCTCCTTCCTTCCTTTCCTGTGCGTGATCACAGAATAGCTCGCATAGAGGAGGGGGTCCGCTGCCTCCACCCCTCCAGCACGGCCCCCGTGTGGCCTGGTGCCCGGCCACCAGCAGACCGGCTGGAGGAGTGAAGCACCGCCGCTGGTCTTGGGGTCCGCGTGTTGTCGTGGCTCCGCTGTCTAGAAAAGACTCGAGCCCTCCTTGCGGACGAGCTCCTGTGAAGGATGGAGCAGCGCGTCTGCCTCGAGATGGACCCCCCCCCCCGGCAGACGCGTGCTTCCCTGCCTGTGTTGTTGTGCGACAGGCGGGATGCGCTACCACCTGCTGTCCCCGGAGGACCGCGAGGAGCTGGGGGAGAGCAGCCGGCCGCGGAGGAAGAAGCACGATTACCGCATCGCGCTCTTCGGGGGCTCCCAGCCGCAGTCCTGCCGCTACTTCAACCCCAAGGTGAGCGGCTCCTGCTCGGGCGGGGTCAGGGGCTGGTCTCCTGTCCGGCCCGCCCCCCGTCACCCAACCCGACCAGCTACCGGCGCCGCGCCAGGACCAGGGCCGGACGCCCGCAGAGCAATCTGCTCGCGAGCTCCACGTGCAGGTCGACGCTTGAATACACTGTGGCCGACGATCTGTCCTACAAGACGTTTCCCTGTCGGGGGCTGGCGGTCATTCCTTGCAGGAAAATCAAACCCGGCGATTCCTGTTGATGTTGGCCTACCATAACTGCGATAAAATAAACTGGCTTTAAGGCAAGGTGACGTCATCTTTAAGAGGGGGTTTTTAACTTCGCAATTCCTTTAGAAAACCACTTGATAACAGGGCATTGAGAACATAAGACAAGGTACAAACAAGAGATGGTCATTTGGCCCATTTAGTAGTTGGTAGCTAATTGATCCCGGGGCCTCATCAGGTGTTTCCTCAAGGAAGCCAAACTACTGGACTGGATAGGTTGTCTCATACTCCCACAACGCTTTGTGTAAAGAAGTGTCTCCTGTTCTCGATTTTAAATGCACTTCCACCATAGTATCTGCAACCCGTCAGCACCAAGAAGATCTGTGATTTGACTGCGTGTCCGTCTCTGCGCTGCCTCTGGTTGTAGGACTACAGCTGGACGGACATCCGTTGCCCCTTCGAGAAGAGAAGAGATGCCGCCTCGGTGTTCTGGGACAACGTCGTCTATATCCTGGGCGGCTCTCAGCTCTTCCCCATCAAGAGGATGGACTGCTACAACGTGGTGAAGGACAGCTGGTACTCCAAACTGGGGCCGCCCAACCCCAGAGACAGCCTTGCGGCCTGCGCCTCCAACGGGAAGATCTACACTTCCGGAGGCTCCGAAGTGGGTACGCACCCGGAGCGACGCGTCGGCCGCCGCAGACCGCTCGATCGGCCTAACCTTAGCTCTAACGAAAGCTCGTGAGGATCATTCTAAATATTGTAATTCAGTGGGCAAGGAGGGACCTTATTTGGAACACCAGGCATGCGAGATGAAGTCGCTGAAATAATAATGAGATGTTCAGTTTAATTAAAGAGACTTGCTATGAAGCGTTTTGGCAGGTCATCCCCGTCTCCCCTGACCTGCCCTGTTGCTAACTGGTTGATGAGTGGAGACTATGCCGCTGGTTGATTGGTTAGTGTAAGCCATGTTGCTAGTACATTAGAAAACCTTTGTTA